TGCGTGTGCGTGTGCGTGTGCGTGTGCGTGTGCGTGTGCGTGTGCGTGTGTGCGTGTGTGTGCGTGTGTGCGTGAGTGTGTGAGTGTGTGTGTGTGTGTGCGTGTGCGTGTGCGTGTGTGCGTGTGCGTGTGCATGTGCATGTGCGTGTGCGTGTGCGTGTGCGTGTGTGCGTGTGTGTGTGTGTGTGTGCGTGTGTGTGTGTGTGTGTGTGTGTGCTCCTCCTCCTCCTGCATATCCTGGGACTAGCGCTGCTGAGCCGTGGTGCTCCTCCAGGATCGCGGACGCCTGCTCCAGGCGCCGCCTCTTGCTCGCAGTCGGCGTCCTTCGCCAGGAGCGACGAGGACGACGACGGCGGCGACGACGACGACCACGACGAAGTACTGCGGATGCTCCCAGAGGGGGGGGGGGCTGCGCAGACCCGCTGTAGTCGACGAAAACCACGAGCACGAGCACGACAACGACAACGACGACGACGAAGTTTCTCGCCCCGCGGGGTCTATTCATCAGCCTTGGCAGGGGGGGTCGCCATTTATTATTCACAAGCTGACATTACCCGTTCTTTCCATGCCCATGTCAGTCGTGCCAATGGCTCAGTCCTTGGTTTTGTATGGTCTGACGAAACATGATGCCCCCGCAATCGGGCCTCACAGCCCTCATATTTCCGTTTGTCCGCGGGCGCCAAGCGGTCCAAGACAGTCAGACGCCAGTCAGCAAGCGGTGATGTGCACCGAGAGTTGATTAAGGCACGAAGGCGACAAGGGAACGAGCGCGAGGGGGGAAGGGGGAGGAGCCCGCCCACGCTATGAAAACCGACGCGGGAATGCCGTAGTAGATCTTGCATCTCATTCAGCGTTCCGAATCAACGGGGTTGGGAGTGGTCAGGGGTAGCTACAGATTCGCGCCTCAGGGGCCCAAATCAGAGTTACCCGGGACCACAGTTATCCGGGATAATCGGGCGTCCAACCCTCCCGAATCATCAGGGTCGGGGCGGTCAGGGGTAGCTACGGGTTCGCACTTCAGGGCCGAAGACGGCGTTACCCTGTACCACAGCTATCTCTAATTATTCAGGCGTCCAATCTCACTGTCTTCAGTCACGACCACGAGTTGAGCTGCCACCCTAGGAGCTAGGAGACCCCCCGTCGGATGCCTTCAGGGGCCGCTCCAGATCGGGCCGCGTCGGTCCCCGAACCGCCCGAGGGGTTCGAGGAGGTTCGACGAGGAGCATCGAGGATCGAACGCGGATCGAGGAGGAGGAGGAGGAGGAAGCGGGAGATTAGCATGAGCATGAGGAGGATCGACAGGGCGGATCGACGTCCCAGGGTCGAGGCGCGTGGAGGGGAAGCCGCGCCCCGGGCCAGGCGACGGCCCCGTCGCCCTGGTGCTCGCGCCGACCCGCGAGCTGGCCGTGCAGATCCAGGCCGAGGCCTTCCGCCTGGCCGAGGCTCTGCGCTCGCACTCGCGCGCGCGGCTGGGCCGCGCTGCACGGCCCGCGGTCGGGCGCATCGGCGCGCTCCTCCTGCAACGCTTCCTGCGGCGAGTTGCCTTCCGCCTCGGGCCGAGCGGCCCGACAACTCGAGCGCCCGTGCGGATTGCCTCTGCCGTCCCGCGGCGGAGAAAAACCGGTCGCTCCGCAGGCTCTGGCCCACCACACTGCGGCGCGACACGCAGATCACTCCCCCTATGTCCAGGCGTCCACGCCCCGAGCCTTTCGAAGACCCCCGCGCCGCACGCTATGAAGAAGTTCCCGACGGGACCGTCAGACGTGCTCGCGCCTTGAGAAACAACGCGGCGGGAGGTGTGTTGGTAATTGTCGGCCTCCGGGGGCCCTCTCCTGGCCCCAGGACCGTCAAAACGATGCAGGATGAACAGCAAGGGGAAGGGTCGGGATATCCAACAACTCAGGGCGTCGGATGCCGGCGCAGTAGGCACGTCAGATAGGAAGTTGGCCTGCCAGCAGTGCCCCAGCGAAATCTCTTATCCCTTGATGGCCCTGGGAGCCCACAGAAGCCCTGGGGCACCTCAGGAAGTTCAAGGATCGATTACAAGCGTGACCCTGGATTTTTACAGCGGGCACATTAACTAATTATCCCAGTGCGACCCAACCTAGGAGTTGGAGTCCCTAGGAAAGCAGCATTAGTAGTGACAGTAAAGCTCAGCTAAAGCTAAGCTAAAGCTAAGGCTAAAGCTAAGGTAAAGCTAAGCTCAAGCTAAGCTCAAGCTAAGCTAAAGCTAAGCTACAGCTAAACTAAAGCTAAGCTAAAGCTAAGCTAAAGTTAAGCTGAAGCTAAGCTAACGCTAAGCTAACGCTAAGCTAAAGCTAAGCTAAAACTAAGCTAAAGCTCAGCTAAAGCTCAGCTAAAGCTAAGCTAAAGCTCAGCTAAAGCTAAGACACATCTAAACTAAAGCTAAGCTAAAACTAAGCTAAAGCTAAGCTAAAGCTAAGCTAAATATAGGCTAAAGCTAAGCTAAAGCTAAGCTAAATCTACGCTGAAGCTAAGCTAAAGCTAAAGCTAAAGCTAAAGTTAAAGCTACAGCTCCCAGGGGACTGGGGGAACCGCTGGGCGGGGACTGGGGGAACCGCCCGGGGCGCTTTACACTGCCCGGCCCCTTTAAGCTAAGAGAGTAAGAATCCTCTAGGCAGAGCCTAGGTAGGGAATAAATCGGCTTGTCAGCAGGTGCCCCATGGAGGTTTTTATTCCTCAGTGGACCCAGGGACACGCAGAAAACCCTGCGGCACCTCAGGGCCCTCAAATACCCAAAAAGGATGCAATGTACTCCAAGATGTCTTAGACCAGTATGTCTTATCGTTGGTGCCAAGTGTACAACAAGATGTCTTATCGTGTGTGTCTGCATTCTGCCGCTCGTCGCCATCGCCGCCTTCGTCGGCTTCGATTTTGGGGCTCGGCATGGGTCCGCACCCTTCGAGGGCAAGGTCCTGACTCGTGCAGGGTCTCGGGCGGGGGGGGGGAAGGGAGGGAGGGAAGGGGGGCGGAGGAGTGGGCAAAAGGAAGGAGGGGGTGACGAAGCTGCCTCGTGCAGCTGATTTCAGCCCCTCCGCCCAGCACGTTCCCCGATGAGCGGCCGCTCCCAGCGCCAGGAGGCGCGGGAAAACAACCAGCCCGTTGCAGCTGCCAGCTGCATGAGGCAGCGGTTATCGCTCTGCGGGCGGAAATGACGGAAGTTAATTGATTGCACCACTTGGGGTCAGTTGGGTCAGTTGCGTCATAAGAGCGGCGGCCTGCGATAATCGATTGCACCACTTGGGTCAGTTGGGTGAGTTGCCCAAGTGACCCAAGTGGTGCAATCGCACTGGGCCAAGTAAGTCAATTGGCCCAAGTGGAACAACTGACCCAACTGACCCAAGTGGTGCAATCGCACTGGGTCGGTCAACTAACCCAATTGGCCCAAGTGGTGCAGCTGACCCAACTGACCCAAGCGGTACAAGCGCGCCCGGTCTGGCCCCACCTGGGCTGCAGTATCAGCCCGCTGGCCTGCGTTCGCAGTCCGCGTATTAGCCAGCGGTATTAGCCAGGCCCGTTGTATGAGCCGAGCCTGTGGTACGAGCCTGCGTGCCTCGTTCCGCCGAACAGTCCAGTAACTGGCGGCTTTAGTCTGTGGTATTCGTCTACGAGCTTGCCTCCGGATAATTAGCCTGTGGTAATCGCCTGTGGTATTGGCTTGCGGGCCCGCAGGTATTCGCCTGCAGGCCTGTGGTATTCGCCTGTGGTAATCGCCTGCGGTGCTAGCCTGTGGTATTCGCCTGCGGTGTTCGCCTGTGGTATCCGCCGAGCGGGAATTCGCCTGTGGCACTCGCCCGCGGTATTCGTCTACGGGCTTGGCTCCGCCGATCGGTAGTTAGCCTGTGGCATTCGCCACTGGGGCTCGCCTGCCGCATTAGTCTGGGGTATTCGCCAAGCCTGCGGTGTTAGCCCACGAGCCTGGTAATCGCCTGCGGTAATCGCCTGTGGTATTCGCATGCGGTGCTAGCCTGTGGTATGCCTGTGGTAATCGCCTGTGGTATTCGCTTGCGGGCCTGCAGGTATTCGCCTGCAGGCCTGTGGTATTCGCCTGTGGTATTCGCCTGCGGTGCTAGCCTGTGGTAATCGCCTGTGGTAATCGCCTGTGGTAAAGCCTCCGGATAATTAGCCTGTGGTAATCGCCTGTGGTATTCGCTTGCGGGCCTGCAGGTATTCGCCTGCAGGCCTGTGGTATTCGCCTGTGGTATTCGCCTGCGGTGCTAGCCTGTGGTAATCGCCTGTGGTAATCGCCTGTGGTAAAGCCTCCGGGTAATTAGCCTGTGGTAATCGCCTGTGGTATTCGCTTGTGGGCCTGCAGGTATTCGCCTGCAGGCCTGTGGTATTCGCCTGTGGTATTCGCCTGCGGTGCTAGCCTGTGGTATTCGCCTGCGGTGTTCGCCTGTGGTATCGCCTGCGGTGCTAGCCTGTGGTATTTGTCTGTGGTAATCGCCTGTGGTACTCGCCTGTGGTATTCGCCTGTGGTATTCGCTTGCGGGCCTGCAGGTATTCGCCTGCAGGCTAGCCTGTGGTACTCGCCTGTGGCAATCGCCTGTGGTATTCGCTTGCGGGCCTGCAGGTATTCGCCTGCAGGCCTGTGGTATTCGCCTGTGGTATTCGCCTGCGGTGCTAGCCTGTGGTAATCGCCTGTGGTAATCGCCTGTGGTAAAGCCTCCGGATAATTAGCCTGTGGTAATCGCCTGTGGTATTCGCCTGCGGGCCTGCAGGTATTCGCCTGCAGGCCTGTGGTATTCGCCTGTGGTATTCGCCTGCGGTGCTAGCCTGTGGTAATCGCCTGTGGTAATCGCCTGTGGTAAAGCCTCCGGATAATTAGCCTGTGGTAATCGCCTGTGGTATTCGCTTGCGGGCCTGCAGGTATTCGCCTGCAGGCCTGTGGTATTCGCCTGTGGTAATCGCCTGCGGTGGTAGCCTGTGGTAATCGCCTGTGGTAATCGCCTGTGGTAAAGCCTCCGGATAATTAGCCTGTGGTAATCGCCTGTGGTATTCGCTTGCGGGCCTGCACGTATTCGCCTGCAGGCCTGTGGTATTCGCCTGTGGTATTCGCCTGCGGTGCTAGCCTGCAGATCGTGGAGGAGAGGTCCAAAAAACACATAAGAATTTTAACAGTTTAACATCAAACCTTCAAAAACTCGTCGTCGTCTTCGACAGCGTCGTCGTCGTGCCTCCTCCTCCTCCTCCTCCTCCTCCTCCTCCTCCTCCTCCTCCTCCTCCTCCTCCTCCTCTTCCTCTCAGGTACGAGGGACAGATGCGGCACCCGATTCGGTGCGAGGACAATGAAGTAGAGCTATGGGAAGGGATGGGAGGGAGGGGTAGGATGTCAGATGTTGATGCACGCGTACCTGTGGTATCCACCGAGCGGGCATTAGCCTGTGGTATTCGCCTGCGGGGTCCTGCGAAGTCCTGCTTGGTCCTACTGCTTCTCCTGGGGGGGGGGCGGTCTCTGGGGGGGGCGGCTTTTTGGGGGGGCGGCCTCTGGGGGGGGGGCGGCCGGCCTGAGGGGGGGGCGGCAGAGACCCAGGGGGGATCGCCGCCCCTGCTCGCCCGCACCCTCGAAGAGGGGGGGAGCCGACGGGGGGGGGCCGACGGGGGCAGCGGGGCGAAGAGGACTGGGGGGGCGGGGCAGCAGGGGACATCAGAGTTCTGGTCCATGCCGCATCAGCAGCAGCAAACGTTGGATTTCTCAAGTCTGCCGCGCAGCGGCTCGAGGCGGTGCGCCCTCTGCCGCCGGTGGCCAGTTCGTCTGGAGCGCCCCCCCTGACGGCGGTTGCCAGTTCGCCCGAGGTCGGCGAGCTGGTGGCGTCGCCGCGCGCCTCGCGGCGCGCCGTCCGCCATGGAGACAGCCGCAGCCAGGTGCCCCCGCTTGGCGTCCGGTCGGGCATTCACGGTCGGTTGCCCCAGAGTGGCCGTTGCCATGCTGAAGGGCTTCAAGCGAATCGAGTCCAAGGCCGGCAGATCGAATTGCCTTCCAGTCGGACGGTATTACCTGCACGTAGGCAAGAAGCCCCTCCCGCCAGCAATAGCGGACAAGTGCGCCATCGCCATCGAGGCGACGTGGCCACGGGCGCCAGAGGCCGACACGCTGCCCCGGTTCAGCGTGTACGGGGCGGTTTTGGTCGGCAAGGTCGTCGACGCCGGCGCCTTGGAGACCCCTTGGGCATTCGCAGAGTTGCCAAAGGCCCACGTGATCTTGGAATCCCATGAGTTTCAGTCCCCGATCCAAGGAGTGAAGGGCCAGCAGAGCGCGCGGCGCCCGCGGCTTGCGCGACGAACGCCAGCCCCCCAGATTTGTTTCCAGGGACAATTGCCGGATCGATCAGAGGAAAAGCTTTCTGACCCGGGCGGGTCGCATCGGACGGGGGCCTCGGGGCCGGGGCCATTGCAGCCTTCCGCCAGGTACATCCACGACCCGGGTAAGCAGGGGTCGTTGACCGAGGCCCTGGCGCAGGCGACTCACCGCGTCTCCCCGCCGTTCGCGCCTGAGCTGGCCGACACGAGGGCGACGTCCAGGCCTCGAGGGGCCGCCACTGTCGGCACGCCCTGGCCCCGCAGGTTCCCCGCCAAGCGGCGCAGCGACGCCGGGGTCACGAGGGGCGCCAAGGCCTTGCGCACCCGGCGCGGAGAGAGCCGGATTCTGCCAGGGCCGCCGGTGCCCGAGGAGAGCGCGGCCAAAGCCCCCGCGTCGCTGGTCGCTCCTGACGCGCCCGCGGGCCGAGGCGTCGAGAGGCGTTCCCTGGCACAGCGCGTGGCGGCTGGGAGGACGTTGTCACGGCTGGTGCATTTGATGGACATGCATTTCCTCCACGAGCCAGTCGTCTTCGGCACCGCGGATCCGCCGCGGCCGCGCGGGGGCCTCTTCGCAATCAGCGGAGGGCAGCTCGCGTTCATCCTGGGCGTATTCACCCGCCGGGGGAAGCCGCTCGCGGACATCGCCCCGCTGGTGGCGTGCCGCGACGGCGGCCGCGATCTCCTGAAGGCATCGTACAGTCACGCTACCACGTGCCCCGCAAGCCATCTCGTCGACGTCGGCCTCCACTGCGCAGTCGCCACCGGGGTCGCTGATCGACGCGGGGCGAGCATTCTGTTCGAGGATGCGCGCGAGTCGCGATGCGCCTTGCCAGAGCCGAAAGCGGACGACCTGCGCCAGACTCGCCAGGCCGCGCAGGCGTGGGCTGGCGGGGACATAGAGTTGCCGTGCGATGGCAGCTGCCACGTGGACCACAGCGTCGGTGAGATCATTCTCGCAGGACGCAGGGGGATGTGCCCATTCCCAGTCCCTCCGCCTTTGCCCGCGCCGATGCCGCGCGATTGATCTTACTGCGTCAGGCGAGAAGCGCCTGCGGTCCATGGCGGAGTCGCGCGCCGCGGCGCGCCGGTTGCCAGTTCGTCTGGGGCCGGTCGCCCAGCGAGTCCGCCACGGGCCGCGCGGCGCTTGGCCGCCGCTTCGGAGATGGCCTCGCCGCCGCCGAGAGGCCAGGGCGATGCCGACTCCGAGGGCGCGGGCAGATCGGCGCGGGGGGGCGCGGGGCGCGGCGGTGAGCAGGTCGCCTCGCACAGGGTTGCAGAAGCATTTGGACGAGCAGAAGGCGCTTGGCGCGCCGCACCACGCAGCGATAAACAGCGAGGACCACAAGTGCTTCTGGGTGCTGGACTTGCCTTTGCCCCGGCAGTTCGACGCGAGGCGGAGGCGCTGCCGCACGTGCGCGGCCGCTGGTCTTCCGAACCGTTATTTCGCCACGGACGTCAGCGACGTGGTGGCCGCTGTGCCGGGCGTGCTCCACTTGCGCTTGGAGAAGCAAGGGTCGGTGTTCATGACCAAGCAGTTCCTCTTGCACCTCGTCCAGCTCTTCCACGATAGACTTTGTCTTCGGCAGACTCGCCGCGCTTTAGTGGAGCAATGCTGCGCTGGCGCTGCAGGGCTCCGAGCAGCCGGGCGAGTCCTCTCGCACTTGCGAGCCATTCCCACGGCGCCGGGCCTCAAGCAAATCTTGTTGACGGCGCTCGAGGGCTACCTTGCCGAGGCGACCCGCCACATGCAGAAACGCATCAACGTGTACTCGGGCGCCGTCATCAGGGGCGACGGCAATTACGAGCAGGCCCGAAAGGTCGCCGTGGAGGGCGACGGTGGGAGAGATCGCCCGTGCACGGTCCTGCTGGCCTGGGTGACCGTGGACGGGGCGCTCTACCAGCCGCCGACGCTTTCAAGGTCAGAAGATGTGAAGGATGCACTGCAGGACCTGGACCCTCTGGTGGGCAGCTTCAAGCAGGACCGGCTGGAGGCAGGTCTCAGCCTAGTGGACTCGGCTCCAGCAGTGCACGCCGTGGACGTCTACGGAAGGCAGCGGTTGCAGCTGAATGCTTTCTACAGGAGGATGCACCCGGAGCTCGACGCCGACGCGGCGGCAGGGGCCCCAACGCCGAGGGGCGACACGACGGGCGCTCGGACGTGCTTCGCCGGTTCTCCGACCACAGTGACGGGTGACCCGCTGCACGACACGCTGGCTGTCATGCGGCTCATCAGCGCGGCCTCGCCAGACGCGCGCAATATGTGCTACGACCACAAAGACATCCGATTGCTTTTCGGGTCAACCCGAGTCCAACGCGGGCATGCCCCCACCATCCTGCAGTGTTGTGTCCTCGCTCAGAGTGCACATCGCCCCATTTTCCCCCTTCTCCTTTCTCCCCCCCGCCCCCGTTCCCGCCCCTCGCTTCTGCCCTCCGCACCGCCATCGTCATCGGCGTCGTCGTCAGGCCAGCATCGTCATCATTACCGTCATCATCGTCACGCTTGTCATGACCATCACCGCCTTCGTCGCCATCGTCGTCATCGCCATCACCATCAACAGCATGCCCCCACAAGGAGTTCCACCCCACTTTGGTAAGGAGCTCCACCTCTGGACCCGGCAGGGTTCGCATGCGCGACCGCGCCAATGGCAAGCCCCTTGCGCGCCTCGTTGCCCCCTGGGGAGGTCCACCAAAGGCCCCAGTGGCAGCGCCGGCATGGCGTTGTCCCGCGCATATCTGCATACCCCGCACGCGGATCGTTGCCCAACAGAGCGCCCCGCCGAAAGCCCCAGCGGCATGGTCCGCATGGCGCTGCCCGGCGCAGGAATGCGCACCCGTCTCAAATTTCGTGACCCCACGTAGAGCTCCCGATCCTTCGTCCCAATTGCATCGCGGCACTAACAATTCCTTGCTTTTTTTCCGCCATGATAATTTTCATTGTGGCGGGGGGGGAGAGGGCATCACTCAGGTTCTCGCGGGAGTGCAGGTAACTTCCCCCGCCCCGCCGGCCCCCCCCCCCCTCGACTGCCCGACCAGCGCCGCGAGGACATCCTGAACCGCTTGTCGCTGCCGCCGCGACGCCCCGCTGCCGCCGCCCCGGTGCCCGCAGAACAGCTGCCCTCTGCACCAGTTGCTGGCCCGCCCGATGCGGGCGCGGGGGAACCAGCTGCGGAGCCGCTGGCAGTGGAGCACCATGAGATGCTGCGCAAGGCAGTGGAAAACACCAAGGATCGACCTGGCCCGGGGCGACGGCGCCGCGGCAGCGAGCGCGCCCCGTCAACCCGCTATTCCCCGGCGGGGCGCCCTCGCCGCCCCGGTCGCCACGGCCCGCGCTAGCTCGCGCCAGGAACAGACTGCAGCGGCAATCAGGGAGAATCCTGCTTCTGCAGACGCGGTTGCAGCGTACTTGAAGCAGCCGCAAGTGGACCAGGAGCCCACGTGGCGCACCATTTTCGGCGCGTCGCCGACGCGGGGCGCCGTTCTTCGACTGTGCGCAGCATTCGGGGTGCATGCGCACGACACGCTGGGATACCACGGCTTCGAGACGCTGGCTGGTTTCAAGAATGCCATCCGGACGCGCCTCAAGTGGCACGCGCCCGGGCGCAAAACGTGCCGGGCGAGGCGCGGCATCTGCAGGCGCCTTCAGGCCGGCCCGCGCCTCCACGGCAAGCGCTCGGCCTTGACCATGTCCGCGCAGGCGCACTACGACCGCCTGCTCAAGCCCCTGCGCCTCGAAGGCTTATGGAAGTGGCGCGACGCTGCGCTGGCGATCGCCGATGCTGGCGCCCCGCTGCAGACCGGCACCGTGGCCGTGGAACGCTGGCGGGCGAGCCTGAAACACATGATGCCGGCCAAGGCGGCTTGCATTTCGGAGAGGTGGTTCCGGGTGTTGGTTGGCCTCGCTTATTTGCGGCACAACCACCGGCACTTCGCGAGCGGGTCTTTGCCCAGCTGGTGCCAGATGGACCCTTTGCTGCAGCAGCGTCTGGCATACTTCGCGGACTGCGCCCAGCTCGTGCAGTCCGAGGGCGACGGCCACTTGAGCACCATCTTCGACCCGTTCCGCTGAGGCACCCTGGGCCAGCAGCTGCTCCCCTGGGGGGGGGCTGCAGTTGCCGGCGGTTGTCACTTCGCCCGCGGCTGGCGCGGCAGCAATGCCGACTCGCGGAGGGGCGTGCCCGCGCCGTTGGTTGCCGGTTCGTCCGAGGCCAGCGGCGCAGGGCCGGCCGCGGCTCGCCGCCGCGCCCCCCCACGAACAGGCGCGTGCGCGGTCGCGAGGGGCGACCGCGACGTCCATCGCCTGCTCGGTAGGACTACCGATAAACCGTTCCAGGCCACTCCCCCTCTCCTGCACCGCGCGCCGGTTGCCGGTCCGTCCGAGGCCGTCCGCGCGGGCCGCGGGGAGGGGGGCTTGGGATGTGCTGGAAATCACTTGCAGGGGCCGCTCGCGCACTAATTACCGCCCCCACGCCGTGCATTGGCGCCTGGGCCTGTGTGCTTGTTGTCGCGCGCCGTTGGCCCCGCTCGCGTTCGACGTGATGTTTTTTGAGATGGGCCCCGCCTCCGCACTCTGCCTGGACACCGCGGGGTCTTCTCGCCCGACTCCCTGGGAGTGGTGACCTTGGAGCGCTTCGCGAAGTCGAAGTGCCCGTCGGCGTCAGTGCGGTCTGTTTTGCGCGGGCAGCGTGTGCTCGTTCTCTCCGAACACCTCGCAGAGACCCATAGCGCAAGTTTCTCGCCAGACGGCCGAGACGTGCTGACCGCCTCGCAAGACTGGACAGCGAAGCTGTGGTCGGCGTCCTCGGGGGTGTGCCTGTGCACGTTCCGCGGGCATGGGGGCCCATTGTTAGTCGCAGTGTGAGCTCCGAGCGGCCGCGAAGTGCTGACGACTTCGACCGACATGGCGGTGAGAATATGGTCTGCCACCACCTCGGACTGTCTGCGCATACTCGAGAGCCACCAGGACTGGGTGCATTGCGCTGCCTTCTCGCCAAGTGGTCAGCAGGTTCTCACTGCGTCCTGGGATGGTACTGCGATTGTTCGGCCGAGGACGCATACCAGAAAAAAAAAAAAAAAAAAAAAAAAAAAAAAAAAAAAAAAAAAAAAAAAAAAAAAAAAAAAAAAAAAAAAAAAACATAAGACTGGCGACTCCGGGGGCGCACCCTGCACGCTGGGCGGCCCGCTGTACGACATTTCATCGGCCGCTTTCTCGCCAGACGGCCGACACGTGGTGACCGCTTCCCACCGCGACGTCGTGAAGGTCTGGTCGGCGGCGACCGGGGAGTGCTTGCTCACGATGCAGGGCGCCGGGGATATCGCGCTCTTCGCGCCGTGAGGATATCGGGGGTCAGCCGCGGGCTTCGTCGCCGCAGGCGCCGCCAGATCAGCCGCAGGCTTTACGGCCGGAACACTGGGCCATTGCATCTCCGAGGCTCGGCACGTTACAACTTGTAGTTGCTTTCTTTGCATGAGGCAAGTCTGTTCGCCACGGTAATCGCCCGGGGATGCGGACTGCGATTCAGCCCAATCCGTTTTTCCTTGGCCTCCCATTGTTGATTTGGCCCCCCTGGGTGGCATAGTTCCAAGCACCGCTGAATGGAACATGGGCCTTGCTCAATTCAGGAACCTTGGCGGTGCATGTCGTCTGACCCGGTTAAGTGTTGGCCCGGCCTTATGGAATTCTCAGGTCCCTCCTTCAGCGTGCAGACTTACCGGGGAAGTAAATTGAAATTTCGAGGTCGCCCGCCAGAGGCTTTCCAGTCTGCAGATCATTCGGAGGCGGCTCCCTGGGTTTCTGGGTTCCTGAGCCTATGAGCTGGGTTTCGTCCCCGCGGGGGGCAGCCCCGCCCCCCCCCCCCGCGCGCCGGTTGCCGGTTCGTCCGAGGCCGTCCGCGCGGTGGGTGGGAAGCGGTGACATCAATGAAACTTTTCGCATGAGAAGTATTGCCGCTGGTCTCGCGCGATCGCCCCCAACGGGCGCATTTGCGCGGATGCGCGTGCAGGGAACGACCGCGACGTCCATCGATTGCCCGTTAGGGGTTCCAGGAACCGTTCCCGGCCACCCCCCCGCCGCCCCGCTCGCCGGTTGCCGGTCCGCCCGAGGCCGTCCGCGCGGGCCGCGGGGAGGGAGGCCTGGGACGCGATATAAATCTTTCGCGCGGCCCGCTCGCGCACGATCGCCCCCAGGCCGCGCATTGGCGCCGATGCACTTGCCTTGTTGCCATTGCCAGGGCAAACGCGCGTTGTCGCGCGCGTTTCGCCCCGCTCGCTTTAAATTTGTTTTTAAATTTGTTTTTTCGCAAGGGAGGCTGGGCGCCCCGCGCCACCCTTCGCCTGCTGCGTGTTTGTCCCGCATAGGTCCCGTGCTGCTCCTAACCTTCGTCGCCCATCCTCCTGCTCCTCGGTCCCTCCTCCTCCCCCGCCCCCCAATTCATTGCCCTCTTGGCGCTCTCTTGGCTCTTGTGGCTCTTATTTCCTCGTCTTCGCTTTTGCTTTCTACGTCCTCGTCATCATTCTTGCCCCCATGTCCGTGGCCACGTGGCAGCTCCTAGGTCCCCATCGTCCTGGGTCTTCGTAATTGCACGCGTGTCCTGGTGATTCTAGATCCCCCTCGGTCCTCATCGAATCTCTGTGATAACATCCGGTTTCGTTAAGTTGTAAAGGCCCCCATTTTCTTTCTAAGTGTTTCAGGGTCTCGCTTGCCAATCGCCAATCGCCATTGTCACTGAAGTCGTTCTGGGCAAAGCGCACGCATACGTTCTGTGAACTAACATGAGGTATCGGCCGAGCCAGGGGTATCAGCCCACGGGCCGGAGGTAGAGGCTTGTGGTATTAGCCGGCGCTGCAATTGGCCGGCGCTTCAATCGCTTCGCTCGTTCCGCCGGCCCATATTGTAGCATCGTTGGCACCTCCTTGCGTGCTCGGGGGGGGGGCATTTGAGGGACCTCCTGGGGCCGCTTGGGGGCCTCTTGAGTGCCTCGTGGGGGCCTCCTGGGGGCTTCTTGGGGGCCTGTTGGGGCTTCTCAGGGGCCTCTTGGGGCCTCGTGGGGGCCTCTTCAAGCCGAGGGCTCGAAGGCCCCTTTTAGGGCTTTATTGGGGTCCTCTTGCGCCGTCTCGGAGGCCTCTTGGGCCGTGTTGGGGCTCTCCTGGGTGCCTCTTAGGCCCTGTGGTATTCGCCATGGGGGCTGCATTCGCCGTGGGGGCTCGCCTGCCGCGTTAGCCTGTGGTATTCGCCTATGGTAATAGCGGTAATTGGCCGGTAACTGGCCGGTGGCTTTAGGCTTCAGCCTGTGGTAATTAGCCGGTGGCTGGAGCCTGTGGTATTTGCTCTTCGGATTCCGCCGAGTCTGCGGTCTTAGCTTGCGGGGCTGGCTCCGCCGAGGAGGAGGAGGAGGAGGAGGAGGAGAAGGAGGAGGAGGAGGAGGAGAGGAGGAGGAGGAGGACGGGGGAGGAGGGGGAGGAGGAGGAGGAAGAGGAGGGGGGGCCCTTGGGCCAGTTGGGCCAGTTGGGTCAGTTGGGTCAGTTGGGTCAGTTGGGTCAGCTGGGTCCGATGGGTCAGTTGGGTCAGTTGGGTCAGTTGGGCCAGTTGGGTCAGTCGGGCCAGTTGGGTCAGTTGGGCCAGTTGGGTCCTTTGAGACAGACGGGTCAGTTGGGCCACTGTGGCCGGTTGGGGTCATTCAGTGCCCCGCGGCCAGATGTGCGCCCCGCCTGGCCGGCCCCCAACTCGTGCAATTGACCCGAACTGACCCCATTAGACCCCAACTGGTCCAACTGACCCAACTGGCCCCAACTGGTGCAAACGATTACCGGCCCATCCTTCCCTTTTTGCCTCCGCGGCTTCAAGTGTTCCAAGTGACCCCAAGTGGTGCAATCAATTACCGGCCCGGTTTTGCGCCCACACTGGGTTATCGGCAATTCAAAGATGGGACCATGAGGGATTTGGCTCCGAGGATGACAAGAAGAATAAGAATAAAAATAATAAGCAGAAGAAGAAGAGGAGGAGGAGGCGGAGGAGAGGACCTAAAAACTCTGCAGATGCAGCCTGCGACCAACTTCCTATCCTTGGAGCCCCATCCCGCAGGGCCCCACCCCACTTTTTGAGCCGCCGAGGTCAGCGAGTCAGCGTTGATTCGCTCCCCCCCCCTTCGCTGTGGCCCCCCTTCGCTACCCCTCCCCCCCTCGCTACCCCCCTCCTTCGCTACCCCCCCCCCCTTCGCTGTGGCCCCCCCCACTTCCGCCCGACCCGAAAGTCCAGGGAGATGGGATGGCGGCTCGGGGCGAGGCCTCGGCGCGCGCGCGCCGGCTCTCCTCGGCGAGGAATCGGATGCAGACGGGTCTAATCTCTCGCTTGATCAGGGGCTGCTCGGCTTCGGGCCCAGCCCCAACAACGATCTCCCCGGCTTCCGGACTGATGAGATTGGCTCTTCCCCCTCCTCCTCATCGATCCCCCCCCCCCTTCCCCCTCCTCAGTGCGTCCGTCCTCGTACCGTGGCTCGTCATCCTCCCTTCCCTCGTCGCCCTCGTCTTCCTCCCTATCCCCGTCCTCCCCGCACGCCGAGGACTTGAGACGGGCTATGAGACTCATCTCCACCCCGAGTCGAAGGGATCGGGCGACGTACCTTCACCACCCGAGGCATCGTCAGAACATGTTCTGCACGCCTCCAGCCGACACGAACACTGCTCGTTGTCTTCTGGCAGTTCCAGTCCACACCAGCGTACATGTAATTGGATGAGGTCAGTCGTATAGGGCTTGCTTGGTCCACGGTTCTCGGCTGCCTGGGGCACATTCAGATCACATCCAGATCACACTCGCATGCAACGATGGTCTACGCGTGTCAATACAGTGCCGAATGTGTATGCGTCACCGCCGCTGTGTAGGCCATGGGCGTCCGAGAGGCGGTGGTCTACGGGGGCGTTCAGCGCCGTGGACAGGTGCAGGACCCCCGGCCCGTCAAAGCGGCAAGCTCTGTGTGCTTGTTGTCGGCGTCTCGCCTGGAAAGCTTCAAAGCGAGATTAAACGAGGCTCGAAAAACTGGAACAACCGCGCGACTTGGGAGCGGAGCCAGAAATCAATGCAGCTGAACACGGCAGCACCAGAAGGGGCAGAAATGGTCAAGTTCTGAAGGAGTTGAAAACGCATTGGAAGCGCAATGAAATCAGAGAAACGGCGAAGGCGGGCGAGGGGCTATGCGGAGAACTGAACATGGAATGAAGCCGATCGAAAAGGGCAGTACACACCGAAACATTCGGCTTTGTTCCCCAGTGGTGACATCCCTTGCCATTGCCTGGGGTTCGGGCGGAGTGGAGAGGGGAGGAGAGAAGGAAGGGGACGACGAGGATGTGGACGAGGATGTCGCAGAGGGCGACAACAAGGAAAAGGATACTTCGCTGCATCAGGGGAGCACTCGCTGGGCCTGCTGCAAAGTCCGGTTGCAGCGTGTGCAGGCGCCGACGGCACCGCTCCAGGCCGTCGCCGTCCCAGTGTCACTGATGGAAAGCCCGTGTGCGGCCCCGGCGGCCCCGTTCCCGCCCGTCGCCGCCGCCCCGCTGCACCCCCCCGTCGCACTGCAGTCGCACTGCGTTGCCATCTCGCCGTGCGTCGCAGTCGCGTCGCACTGCGATCGCGTCTCATTGGCGTCGCATCGTTGTGCATGGCTCTGCGTTGCCTCGCACAGCTCTGCATTTCTCTGTGTTGGTTTGCATTTCTTTGTTTTTTTTTGCGTGGAGTGGTGTTGCTGTGCCCTGGGTTGCTCTGCATTGCATTATTGTGCATCGCGTTGCATTGCGTTGCTTCGCATAGCACCACCGAGATTGCGCCACAACAATTGCACCACATGGGTTGCACCGCATTGATTGCAGGAGATTGCTGTTTGAAATCCACGCTGGCTAACATTACAGGACGCTTGCTTTTAATTATTGACGCGTCGCATATCCCCAGCAGCCCATCTCGAAACAGATCGCCAGGCGAGTTGCCTTGACCAGGGAAGGGTAGAAGCACGCAGTGTAACAACCGCCTTGGGAGTGTCTTCTCGGAGGTCCGTTGGAGCAATCTTGGGTCCCGTTGGGGGTGTTCGCGGAGCCTGTTAGGGCACTCTTGGGGGTCTTGTTGGGCTCTTTGGGAGAGCCTTGCGGCCCTCTGGGAGCTCCCTGGGAGGGGGTCTGGGAGGCCTCTTGGGGTCGTCGTGGGCCCCCCGTGGCTCGACAGGGGGGGGAAGGTCCTCAAATTAGCCTCCCCCCTTGGAGGTTGAAGAATGCAGTCTTCGGGCCCTCCTGAGCCGCTCTTGGAGCGCTCTTGGGAGCACCGGGGGCCCGCTTTGGCCCCTCTTGGGGCTCCCCTAGCGCAAAACACACTGATGTTCCCAAGGTGTTGGGGCAATCCTGGCCTCTTGGAAAGGTCCCTGGAGGATCCGAATGGCACCTGTAACCGTCTTGGGGCCGTCCTCAGGCCTCTTGGATGTGCGTCGAAAGCTATCTTGAGCCACCTCGAAGTATCTTAGGCTATCATGGAGGCCATCTTGGGCTCTCGGAGGCCCTCTTGAAGCCATCTTCGGCCATCTTATGCGTTCCAATGGGTCGCCCCCCCCCCCCTCGCAGGCCCAGGGGAGGAGGCAGGGGTAGGGGCAAACCCCTCCCCCGAGCAGGGGAGTCAAAGTACCTACGCCCAGATGGCTGGCGGGATATATTCCCCAAAGTGGCACAACACGTCAAAGCACGACAAAACAAACTAAACTAAACAGGTACCTGGCCGTTATGATCGGCATGGAAGCTGGCGGACTTGGGCCAGAGCGGGGGGCCACGGAGTAGGACAAGTGAGGAGGACGGGGGAGCGGGGAGGGGGGGGAGAGAATGGGAAGGAAGCGGGTGGGAGGAGGGGAAAAGGAGCGGGGCACCGAAGAATTCCAGGCATCGCCAAGGGGGGCTACCACTAAGGGATCGCCAGCTCCTCAGAAGAATCCAGAGGATCGAATTTCAAGGAGGGCCGAGGATATTTTGGATTGGTCGTTTGCGCTTTAGGGGGTTATGATGGGGACTGGGGGTCCTAAGGGGTCGTCCTCCTCGACGAGGTGGTGACCTCCCTTGCCATTGCCTGGGGTTCAGGCGGAGTGGAGAGGGGAGGAAAGAAGGACGAGGACGACGAGGATGTGGACGAGGATGTCGTAGAGGGCGACAACAAGAAAAATGATAATTCGCTGCATCAGGAAAGTACTCGCTAGGCCTACTGCAAAGTCCGGTCCAATCCCAAGAAGCAGGTGGTTGTTGCAGTGTGGCCCAGTTGCCCAAGCACTGTTCGATTCATGCTTGATGTATGTGCTTAGATGCTATTGGAATGGTGTATCGAGCGGTATTTGCAATACACTTACCTGGTGGCAGTTGAGAGTATCTTGTGGCGTATGCCGACCACCCTGTCTATTTGCGACGTGGCCATACATGCTCTCGCTTGTGACAGAACAATTGTTGACTCTGTCACAGGAGCACGCGATCCGTGCCACTCGGTGAAGCAAGTTGGTGCACATCTACATGATACGTACTGGGTCTACACGCGCAACCAGAAACTCCGAACAGCCTCGCGGGATCTTGCTGCCAACGCACTGGGGATTCAGGTCCATCGGCGATTTGTGTGGAGGATGAGTTGACTTCGCGCGTTCATGAAGTTGGGTGCTCGCCCAAGAAGCATGAAAGTTCCCCGCGCTGCCCTAGACCCCCTCTTGCAAGACGGGTCCACCTACTACACATATTCTTCGAGACCTGTTTTGTCGGGTGCGCTGGAAGCGGCCTGTCTACTCAATCTCGGCAGTCTTATCTACAAGGCGACCAGTAGTTCATGGTGCGAACCATGTTGGGCATCGAACGCAGTGGTTGGGGCTGGGGGGGCGAACTTCGCGACGCGTTTTCTCCGTGACGACATAGACGGACCAGGACGGCAAACTTGCTTTGGCCACTATTGGGTTCGAGATGTTGGGTGCCCAATGCTTCCACGAGGGGGTGATTGCCCACACATGCAGTCAGCTGCACAGCTGGAAGCTCCGAGCATGCAGGTGGGAAGTTCGACTGCGGAAGGTTTCGAGAGCGGCAGCCTTTTTTGGGACGACGATTGCCGCGGACAGCCACCGCTGGAACAGCATGCTGGACTATCTGGCTTGCCGCAGTTGCAACCAACATCACCAAGAAGGGGAACGTTTCGGATTCCTGAAGTACTGAGCTCGGGTGGGCGCAGGGCTCTTCCCTCGCTCAGTAGACCGATTGCGCCGTGCTGGTCCCTGGCGTTTGAACGCAGGAGGAGGGTAACGATGCGGATGAGGGGGACGGTGAGGGGAAGGAGGAAGACGAGGGAGAGGAAGGAAGGGGGAGGAGGGAGGACCGTGGAGGACAAGGAGGAAGGAGGGTCTATAGCAGGAGAGAGAGAGAGAGAGAGAGAGAGAGAATGGAAGAGCACGGGGTGTGCCGATCTGATACGAGCGGGGGAACTCGATGCGTGTGCAGTCTGTGACAGCCTGTCGGGCCCTCGGCGGGACTCTTTGTGGGGTGCGATCTGCGCGACGGGTGGGCGGAGGATTGGGAGGAGGAGAGGGAGTGACACGCGCCGTGCTGCGGCCTCAAAGCGAGCACCGCACGCCACACAGGAGGGTTGCACTAGGGAGGGTGAGGAAGAGGGACGAGCCAGAGGAGACGCGCGGCGCTGCGGACTCGAAGCGAGGCCCAACAGCACAGGAGTGGTGGGAACAACGTGAACACGTTGGCCAGCCGGGGCCCCAGGTAGTGCGCTCTTGCACTGTGGATGTGTAACAGTATGTGGTGCAGCAACTGTGTTGTAAGCGATGCTGCGCAATACATGTGATCCAAGCGACGTGGTGTAAGCAAAGCACGGCAAACTATGTGGTGTCACATATGTGGTGCAAGCTATGCGGTGAAAGCTATGGTGTGTGCGTGTGTGTGCTAGGCGACGCAATGTATGAGGTGTAAAATAAATTGATGCCAGCTTTGCGGTGTCAACTCTGTGGCGCAAGCAATGTGTTGCAGGCTGTGTGGCGTAAGCTGTGTGGTATCTCAGCATCTGCGGTGAAAACTACGTGGTGAATGCTACGTCGAGCAGATGCTGTGGTACAAGCGATGTGGTGCAGGCTGTGTGGCTGCTTACGGGGCGACCACGAGGTGCCCACGGGCGGCCATTTTCGGGCACCAGGCGAATCCAAGGCGGACCCCCCCAGCGCACGGGGCTTGCACGAGGTGCCCACGATTGGTCACCAACCGAGCACCAGGCGAAAGCCCTGGCGGAAGCACCCAATGCACGGGGCGCCCACGAGGCTCTCACGACTGGCCACCACTTGAACCTCATGTGGGTCCTCAGGTGGGCCGTCCAATTCCCTCGGTAATTTGAGCAAGAAACCCCAAGTGCAAGCCCCTTTCGGGGAACATGAGGCGAGACAAGACGGAGTGGCGCCAGGGCAGCAGCGCCGCCGGGGCCAGGAGCTGCGGCGCGGCTGCGAGATAGTAATCGCCACCCCAGGCCGCTTGCTGGACCTGCTGGAAGGTGTTGCGGGAAGTGGAGGAGGACGACCACAGTGGCGACGACGTCGACGACGGTGATGGCGACAAAGGACATGACGACAAGCAGAGGGAGGAGGAGGAGGAGGAGGAGGCGGAGGAGGAGGAGGAGGAGGAGGAGGATGGGGGAGGAGATGGAGGAGAAGGAGGAGGAGCACCAAACGAAACACATTAAGGATATAGACGAGGGAAAACGAAGTAGGTTTTAGAAGGTTCCAGGGGGTTCTTGGAAGTTGGAATTCTTAAGGTTCTGGGGCTCCCCAGGGGCTGCCACCCAGGACGAGAAGGAGAAAACATGAGGACCAGTGCAAAACCAAGACGCATCAATGATGTTGCAGTACACATCCCTCCAAAGTCCTTCCTCACAGGGCCCTACAAGATTTTGTCACTGCGGCAAATGCCCGTTTGGAATCAACCGTCGGAGAACCCCCGACCAGGCCAAACCGCACTTCCTGAGACTTCAGCGTCGCGAGCCAATGTGACGGTTGCATCTGAACAGTCTGAACTCGTGACAAAACGCCATTCCTGGGATTTCAACACCGCGAATAAACGTGATTGTTGCGTCTTGACAACCTTAGCAATTTACATAACACCATTCCTGGGAATTCGACCATGCGAGGCCTTGAACCTGTTGCCAACGTTCGAAACAAACGCGCAGTACGCTGAGGCGAGAGCCATACATATATATATATATATATATATATATATATCTATATATCGAGTTTCCCTACATCTTTGAGCATGTTGCAAGCGTTCAGGACGAAGGTGCGCGGGGTTCAAGGCGAGAGCAACATTTTGAGAACCGCCCGTCGTCCATCTGTCACACTGCAGCATGTTCAGGACCACTGCGCGCGGCGCTATGGCGGGAGCCGTATTTCGAAGACGAGCCGCACTACATCTTTGACACATTTGCAACTCGTTACACATGAATGTGCGCGGCGCTAAGGCGAGAGCCACATCTTGAAAACGGGCCGCCCTCAATCCGTGAAGCTGTTGCACATGTCAGGTTTCAGGACCATCAGCGGTGAAGAAGTCTCAGGCGAAACGCTGAGCCCGCCCTACCAACACGTCTGGTGGTGCGACAAGGAGGAGATACACGTAAGAAAATTGTTGAGGAGGAGGAGATTGGGTGGTGCGAACAGCAGGGGAGATAAAGGAGGAACATGAAGAGGATGAGAAGGAAGCATTTGGCCACGCTGCAGGATGAGAAGGAAGGAAGAGGAAGTGGCAGAAAGAGACGGGGGGAGGCAATATCAGAAGCAGAAAGAGGCAGAACAGAAAGGAGAAAGTCTGGAGGATTGATGGGGGAATGGGAGGAGAGGAGGAAGAAAGAGAGAGAACGTTTATAGAGCGGCATATCATCAGTGTGGCTACTCTCTGTAGTGGTCTGCTTACTACCGGAAAATATGGTCGGGAAGTTTTGCTTAGCGTGTCGCGCCGCCGATTTTGGCCCTGTCAGGCTTCGGCGTGACACGCTAATCGCACCCCAGTCCCCAGGCGTCAACGTCCCGAGCCTTTCCCATCCCCCCATTCCTTGCGTAGGACAGCGATGCGCGACCCGGTTGCAAGGCACAGCATGTCGCCAGGGCCGTTGCCTCCACATATTTTACATAACAGCGAAGACTGATAGGTTTCTAGTGGGGTCATAAGAGTGCATCTTGACTCCCCAGAGGGTCTGGGCGGATGCCGTGGGAATCCAGGGAATCCGGGGACTCCCCAGGACTCCTATAGATTCGTAAAGTTTCCGATGGATTCCTACAGATTCTGTTCCCAGAACACCATTCCCAGGCCACCTTTTGAATGCCCGGAGCCAACTGTAGGCCACTTCGTGTTCGTCGTGCTCCCAGAACACCATTCCCAGGCCACATTTTGAATGCCCGGAGCCAACTGTAAGCCATTTCGTGTTCGTCGTGTTCCCAGAACACTCCCAGGCTACATTTTGAATGCCCGGAGCCAACCGTAGGCCACTTCGTGTTCTTCGTGTTCCCAGAACACCATTCGTGTACCATATTTTGATTGCCCGGAGCCAACTGTGGGCCACTTCGTGATCTTCATGTTCCCAAAACACCAAGCCTGTGCCATATGCCCGAGCTGAGGCAGGCCGAGGCTGAGGCCGAGGCAGGCTGAGGCTGAGGCTGAGGCACGCCGAGGCAGGCTGAGGCTGAGGCTGACGCAGGCTGAGGCCGAGGCAGGCTGAGACTGAGGCTGACGCAGGCTGAGGCCGAGGCAGGCTGAGGCAGGATGAGGCAGGCTGAGGCTGAGGCCGAGGCAGGCTGAGGCTGAGGCTGATGCAGGCTGAGGCTGAGGCCGAGGCAGGCTGAGGCTGAGGCTGAGGCAAGCCGAGGCAGGCTGAGGCTGAGGCTGAAGCTGAGGCAGGCTGAGGCTGAGGCTGAGGCGAGGCTGAGGCTGAGGCAAGCTGCAGGCTGAGGCTGATGCAGGCTGAGGCTGAGGCAGGCTGAGGCTGAGGCTGAGGCAGGCTGAGGCTGAGGCTGAGGCCGAGGCAGGCTGAGGTTGAGGCCGAGGCAAGCCGAGGCAGGCTGAGGCTGAGGCTGAGGCTGAGGCCGAGGCTGAGGCTGAGGCAAGCTGAGGCTGAGGCTGAGGCAGGATGAGGCTGAGGCAGGCTGAGGCTGAGGCCGAGGCAGGTTCAGGCCGAGACAGGCTGAGACTGAGGCTGAGGCTGAGGCTGAGGCCGAGGCAGGCCGAAGCTGAGACAAGGTGAGGCTCAATTGGGGGGGGAAGGGGGGGGGGCGGGGGGAGGAGGGGAGGCTGATGCAGGCTGAGGCCGAGGCAGGCTGAGGCCGAGGCAGGCTGAGGCTGAGGCTGAGGCAAGTCGAGGCAGGCTTAGGCTGAGGCTGAGGCTGAGGCTGAGGCAGGATGAGGCTGAGGCAGGCTGAGGCTGAGGCTGACGCAGGCTGAGGCCGAGGCAGGCTGAGGCTGAGGCTGACGCAGGCTGAGGCTGAGGCCGAGGCAGGCTGAGGCTGAGGCTGAGGCAAGCCGAGGCAGGCTGAGGCTGAGGCTGAAACTGAGGCAGGCTGAGGCATCCGTAGGAATCCATAGGAATCCTTAGGAATCCCTATGAATCCTTAGGAATCAGTAGGCATCCTTAGGAATCCGTAGGCATAGTTAAGCCTCCTCAGGAATCCTTAAGACCCCCTAGGAATCCTTAGGAATCCCTAGGAATCCCTAGGCATCAGGATGCCTAAGGTTTCCTAAGGATTCCTATGTATTCCTAAGGCTGCCCAAGGATGCCTTAGGAATCCCTAGGAATCCTTAGGATTCCATTGGGTCCTAAGGCCGTTGCCACTGCGACTGTCATTGCGAATGCGACTGCGACTGCGAGAACAGCAGAATTCTACAACTGGATTATCACCTGAATCTTAAGGGGAATGCTTCCAGATATGCTTATACACATCGCTGTTAGGTTGCTTTGTCGGGATAATTGGTTTCGGAGCGTTTTGGGATATCTCTTTGGCGTTTCTTGGTGGCCACTTGAGGCGTCTTAGAGGATCTCTTGGCGGTCCTGGGGGGCTCTTGGGCGTCTCGGGTGCCTCGGGGGGGCTTCTCGGGGCCGCTTGGGGTCCTCTTGGGGGCCTCCTGGGGGCCTCTTGGGGGCCTCTTGGGGGCCATCTTGGGGCCATCCTGGGGCCTCCTGGGACCTCCTGGGCGCTTCTTGTGGCCATCTTGGAGGACATTGATCAAGGAAGGGGATGGTCGCAATTCGCGTTGCACCCCCAAGAGGCTGACATGGGGCCAAAACCTTAGTGACACCAGTGATGTTGGTTTCCTCGTCAAGGCCGTTTTGGACGCCCTGACCGCTCGCCGCCCCCCCCGTCCAGGCCCAGGGGAGGGGGTAAGGGGGAGGGGTCAAGACTCCTTCCCCGCCCGCAAGCCGTCTGGCTCACTCCCACCCGCCCTCCCAACACATACATAGCACCCGAGTCTGGCCCGAGCCGCAACAGATTCAGCAGTTGTCTTTGGATGGGCAGCTACTGGGGGCCAATCCGCCGCCGCCGCCGCCTCCGCCGCCCCCGCCGCCGCCGCCGCCGCCGCCGCCGCCTCCGCCGCCGCCTCCGCCGCCGCCGCCGCTGCCCACCGCCGCCGCCGCCGACGCAGCCCCCGCTGCCAAATCTCCGCAGCCGCAGCCGCAGCCGCCGCAGCCGCTGCCGCCACCGCCACCGCCGCCGCCGCCACCGCCGCCGCAGCCGCCGCCGCCGCCGCCGCAGCCGCCGCAGCCGCAGCCGCCGCCGCAGCCGCCGCAGCCGCCGCCGCCACCCAGTGTACTCTGTATGGTTTTTTGACAGGGATGGTGGGGGGAGGCCGCATCGGGTTGGCTGCGCATGCTCCGAATTTGGAAACAGAGTGTGTCTTGCATTGTTTTCTACAAGGGATGGTGGGGGGGTGCCCTCATGGCCCCTGGTTGGCTACCAGTCGCCTGGAGGAGGGGGTGTTTAGTAATAGGGAACAGTGATAAGCCCCTCCCCGAAAGGGGAAGAGAGAGGGGTGGAAGAGGAAACTCTCTAAACCACCTACGCCCAGAGGGCTGGTGGGATATACGATGGCAGAAAGCAGGCCCACGTGGGCCACCAGCCGAGCTCAGAGAACCTCCGCCCGAGCAGAGCTCAGAGGACCACCGGCTGACTTGTTGCAAGTGGAAGGGCGAGACCGGCCAGCCTGAACTTGGACGTTGGCGACGTGAGCTTGAGATGGCTGCTCGAACTTTGCCACCCCTGGTGCCGACTTGGACTCCCAGCAGTGTGTCCTCTCCGTCTCCTTGAGCAAGCACTCTTTGGACGCGTGCCCTCTGGGTCCTGAGGGCGGGCCTTCAGACTCCTCCCCGGGGCTGCTGGGTAGCGGGGCCTTGCGAGCAGGCCTAAGCAACCGACCAACAAGGCCAACACTAGCACGCCTCGTGTACAGTCGAAACCGATGGACCCTATGGGTAATCTTCCTAAGGGTACCCTTGCATCCGTGCCTCGCTGGTTCATCCTTAAGTACTTTCGATGACCAGCCCAGCTCGTTCAGCTTCGGCATGGGCGTCCGAGGCCCTTGCATCCTTATCACGTATTATTACTACCAGTTTTGAGATCCGATTTTCGTTGTGACTGTATGGTCTTCCAGCGACTTTGCCTCTTTCGGGAAAAGCTGCACACCAGCCCTCGGCGCCAGCTGAGTACGTCCGCAGGCGCACTGTGCGGGGTGTCGCGGACATGGGATAGTGATTTGGAGCGCTGCAGCAGCGAGGAGGAGGAGGAGGAGGAGGAAAACGGATGAAGGGAGGAGGAACTGGAGCTGGAGGAGGCGGAGGAGGCGGACGACGACGAGGAAATGAAGAAAGGCCTCACGATGCCCCTGAGATCTGGACCTCCCGTGACGAACGAGACCGACACATAGGAAACGGCGGTCTGGGTCAAGTTGCAAGAGATCGTGTGCTTGCACGTTTCCCTGGGCAGCTTGTCTGAAGGGGTCCTATAACAGTTTTCGGGAGGACGAGGGTGAGGAACTGGTGGCCCACGGTCTCCCGTGTGGTCTCCCGCATGGCATCTTGCATGGTCTCCCGCATCGTCTCCCGTACAGTTGCTGGTCTCATCTCCCGTGCAGCTCCTCTTCTTCATGGTAGCCCGCATCTTCTCCCGTATGCTCTTCCGTCTGAAATATTGTACGGTTTCCCGTATGCGCAGTACAACACAAGGCTCTGTTTATTGTTGAGTTGTGTTGCCCACCGTGGTCGGCCGTCATGTTGTTCAGGGCGTTCTGCCGCCATGATGTCAGTTTGCAGCTACATTGGCTCAAACAGTTCGTCACCTGGCGGCGACAAGGGCTGATCCTTGATCATTCACCCTCAATACACGTTCACTCGCTTATTTATCTGACACTTGAATGGGAGTGTTGAATGGGTACGGCTTGTGCCAGCTCGCATCACACCGCGCGGCCCAAGCGGCCGTGGCTTCAGGTTCTCGTGGGGATATATACAACGTAGTGGTAAGCTCTGCTGGGCGATTTTTTTATCATAGTGTTACCTATACGACCACCCTTCGGGTGATAAGGAGGTTGTGGGGGGGGGAGAGGGGGGGAACCAACATCTGACTCAATCGATCGCAGTATCGTTCTCATTCAAGGGGGCACCATGGGACACCACGGGACACTTGTCGATCTGACTATCGATCTCACTCAACGGGACACCACGGGACACCACGGGCCACCACGGAACACCACGGGACACCGCGGGACACCTCTCGATCTCATTATCGGTCTCACTATCGATCTCACTCAACGGGACACCACGGGACACCGCGAGCCACCGCCGGACGGACGGACGGACGTGCGGGCGGGGGAGAATCGTTTGTCCTGACTTCGCCCAAGCAACGGCGGACACTACGGGACACCGCGGGACACCACAGGACACCGCGGGACACCGAGAGCCACCGCCGGACGGACGGACGGACGGGGGAGAATCATTTGTCTTGACTTCGCCTTAGCAACGGCGGACACCACGGGACACCACAGGACACCGCGGGACACCGAGGGCCACCGCTGGATGGACGGACGGACGGGGGAGAATCATGTCTTGATTTCGCCCTAGCATCGGCGGACACCACGGGACACCGCGGGACACCGAGAGCCATCGCCGGACGGACGGACGGAGGAGAAATATTTGTCTTTACTTCGCCCTAGCAACGGCGGGTTCATTCCTCTCGCGCGCCCACGCAGCTTCGCCTCGCCCGCACGCACGACACGAACGAAACCAAACGATTTCCCGGTTGGGGGTCTCCGTTCCATTGCGATCTCACCCCCCAACCTCCGGTGCCTCTTGCTCCCTCTCCTCGTCCCTCGGGGGTGCTTGGCCTCACCTTTATATTGTCAGACCGCCACCTTTCTAGATGTCCCCTTCCAGGTCTACTTGTCCTCAATGTTGTGGGCACTCGTGCCACTGGCAGCTTCAGGCTCTCGGATGCGTTCATGATGCAAATATCAGCGGAAGGGATGCACGAGTTGCAAAACATTGTTAGCCATCAGGTACCGTCGGGGCTCGTGACTCCAGCACCGACAACGTGCGTAGACGCTGACAACGGAGCCTTGAACAGACTTGGCAATTCTTGCGAGGTCTATGCGCACGACCCAGGAGCTCCTTACATCGGTATCTGCCTCGACCCTTACTATGATGATAGCGACTTCTCATCCTCAATGTGTTGCGTGTGTCCTGACAGTTGTCCCGTGGAAGAACCAATACTTCATGAGCCAGGGGACTGTGAGGATTGGATTACATTTGCGGCCTCAAACGACGATGGTCTGGGGAGGTCGTCTCATTCAAATCTCGCTGGTTTGGGTCCAGACTTTCATAAACCCCGTGAGCTCCGATATTATGGAGTCGGGCGGCTTCAGAATGGCGTCCACGTCGACATTACTTTCGTCAACACAAGCCAGTACATCCCGAGGAACACGAACTGGAACAAAATTGTTGGGTCTCAGGCTGTGGTGAATCTCCTTGTTGGTCAATTTGCCACTCTCAAGGGGGAGTTCGTGAGAAATCACACCTTCTGCCCTGAGACCCCATATCTGCCCAAGCTCACGTTTTGTGACATTGACCATTATGAAGACGGGGAAAATGAAATTCTGATTATCGACGGTATCAGCGCTATCTACACTGTCGACGGCGACCTCGATTACGATCTGGAGCTGTTCGAGTATAATTCTGCCTACCTCGAAGACCCGGTCCCACTAGACTACACGTCAGAATCTATACCAACTGTGATTCCGGGAAGGTCCTCCCGAAAGTACACTTCTGTCTCTGGTGGAAAGTTTGGGATCCGTTCAACGTCACGGATGTTCGGCCATGGTTGCGACAACCCGACTGACGTGAACCACCTTACAAACATCTCTTGCCCAGATGAGACAGCGGCCCCTGTGGACCAGGCGAGGAGAGGATGCCAGTGAAGCACCCTTACCCGTCCTGGCCAGGTCCATCCTAGTCCCATGATGGATGTGCATTACTGTCAGACCAAGCCCGGAGGGCGAGTTCATGAATCTTAGGCCTAGGATGGGCCTGTCCAGGATCGGTCTATGTGCGAAGTGTGTGTCCTTCCAGGCGAAGCGGTGCTTCATGGCAGAGTTCTCGAACACGAGCGCCTTCAGCATCGCGTTCAGGATCTTGACGGACAAGCCTGACGAGTACATCCAGCAATGGGGACGCAATTTCGCCATGGCCGGGACGTCCCCATACTTCGCCCGCCAGGGCAGTCTCTCTTGCTTCACGCCGTCACCAACCCCTTCTCCAACCCCTGCGCCGACAGCTACGCCGACAGCTGCACCGACAGGCGCGCCCACAGCTGCACCGACACCGGCACCGACAGTTGCTCCGACCCCTGAGCCAACAACGGCGCCGACCGGATTCCCGACCGCCGCGCCGACTGCTGCGCCGACAGTTGCACCTACGCCTGCCCCGACCGCCGCGCCGACTGCTGCGCCGACTGCTACACCGACGTCTGCCCCGACAGCGACCCCAACAGCTGGGCCGACTCCTGAACCAACAATGGCACCGACGGAGTCTCCGACCACAGCGCCGACAGCTGCGCCGACAGCTGCGCCGACAGCTGCGCCGACATTGTCTCCCACTGTCGCCCCGACAGCCGCGCCGACAGCTGCGCCGACAAGCTCGCCAACAGCTGCCCCGACATTGGCACCAACAGCTGCGCCAACTCCTGAACCAACACTGGCACCGACCAGCTCTCCGTCCCCTGCACCAACGAGCGCGCCCACGGCTGCCCCAACAGCGGCACCGACAGCTGCGCCGACTCTTGAGCCAACAATGGCGCCGACCGGCTCTCCGACCCCTGCGCCGACAGCTGCGCCTACGTCTGCCCCGACACTGGCGCCGACAATGCCGTTCAGTTCTGGCATTTCTGGTGTCATGGCGCCAATGGCGCCAGTGGTGACGAGCGCAGTGGGTGACCCACATCTGGTCAATGTACAAGGGCAGCATTTCGATTTGATGAAGCCTGGCATCCACGTCCTTCTTCATGTGCCCTTGAGGGCGCGCCAATCGAATGTGCTCCTCGCTGTGGCAGCTGACGCTCAGCAAATAGGCGGCGCTTGCGCGGACACATACTTCATGAGCGTCAACATCACGGGAAAATGGGCGGAGTCCAAGGCCCATCAGTTCGGGCATGCCGATGGCATTGGGCTCTTTTTCGCCGCAGGTCAGGGGGCAGCCCACACGGGCACGAAGTGGATGTCCTTCGGGAAGATCCAGTTGAAGGTGATTCACGGCCGCACCCTCGGGGGGACTCCGTACCTGAATTTCTTCGCACGTAATTTGAAAAAGGCGGGACATCTCGTGGGCGGGCTCCTCGGGGAGGATGACCACTCTGAGGTGGCCACCCCGAGTACAGAGTGCAGAAAGGTCATGGAAGTCTGAGGCTTGCGTGGACGTATTCCTTCCTTCGTCCCAGCCCCTCCTTCTGATTCACCCACCTTCCGCCCGACTTGCCCCACTCACGTCGCTCCTCATCCTCATCCTGCCACTTCCCTCCCCGAGTGCGCAATGTCTTCGGCAAGGGAACACCTTCCCCGAGGGAAGCTTGTCACAGCGTGCGGGTCGTGGTGGAACCGCACAAGTAGTGCGACGGCACCCACGAATTTCCCACGCCGCTGTGATGTGGTCCGACTTCCCTAGCGTCTCCGAGCAGGAAGCCGAATACACTTGCTGTGGCCGGCTTGGGCGTCAGTTGGATACACATGCGGCCACGTGTTTGTCCACCTTTCTGCCCTCCTTCAGCCCTGTGTGTGTTCAGCGCGTGGCCTCTGTTCGCATGTGAAGTCGGCCGTGTGTGTGTGTGTGGTTGATGTCGGCAGGCGTTTCGAATCCTAAGCTATTATTGAGGGCCCGGCCGCGACCGCGCTTTCACTGTTTCTACTTACTCCGCCTCGTCGCCGCGAGCGAGGCCGCTAACGCCAGAAGTTTGTGTGTATGTGTGTATGTGTGTTTATGTGTGCGCACGTGCGTGCGTGCGTGTGTGCGTGGGCGTGTGGATGTATGAGGAGGTGTGTGTGTGTGTCTGCATGTGTGCGTGTTTACGTGTGTGCGTGCGTGCGTGCGTGCGTGCGTGCGTGCGAGTGTGTGTGTGTGTGTGTGTTTGTGTTCGGTTTCCTGGTGCATGCCATTGGCTTTCACCACCCCTTTTCTGGGCCGCCCGCCCGGGGCGCGCCTCGCCCAGGCAGAGGCGAGGATAGCGTTTGCACGTTTGCTCGAGCAGAGTTGTTTTTGGCGGTTCGAGCCCTTTGGTCAGGTCTGACTCGACATCCCAAAAGAGCCGGATCTTGACATCATGCAATTGGGACATCCACGCACGACACGGCAGCTCGATCGCGCATCTGTGTTCATTGGCAGCGCGGTCTTCGCATGCACTTGCGTCAACTCCTGCGCGTTGATGCTCAAGGCTTGCTTGCCTTCGTATTCGCTCAGTTGAGGGTATGATATCTCGCGGGCCGTGTGAGTGTTTTTTGGGGCACCATGGGCCCATGCACAACAGCCCGATCGGCAATTCACCTGCCGTCATCGGCGTCACAGCGTGCTGCGGTCACAGAAATGTTTGTTGTCACCGCAACGTACCGGATCCCATCCCATCCCCCTTTATTCGGCTCAATCCTGGACTTGGGTCGGTCCAATGCGGCGCAGCGGCGCCAGAATAGGGTTGAGTAGGTTTTGATTTAGGTTTAACGACGTCCTCGCAGGATTTGCCTCTTCAGGGAGATCGCCCCCCCCCCCCCCCGCCGATAACGTCCTGCATGTCGCCGCGCTGTTTGTTCCGACGCGCGGTCTTACGCGCGAGCAAACGCCGCCTCAAACGCGGTGGGCTTATTGTGGGTTTGCCGCGGTGCCGGCCTCGACTACTTGGGCGCGGGCTGCAGGGCTTGACGTGGATTTGCCGTGGTGTCGGCGTCGTCCACTTGGGCGCGTTCAGAACTCAAGGCACGGCGACACATCGAGTTATTATGCTTCGAGCGATCCCCACCAAAAAAATCGGCGTTGGTTCCCAACGGTGCGCGCCTACTGGATCGATGTGCGCGGGGCCCGGCGGTCTCGGCCAGCGCGGCGGCCGGGCCTGGTCGCAAGTTGATGTTTTCCGAAAGTCTAACAACCCCCCAGGGCCTCTGACGAAAGAAACCGAAACGAGCCTTTAGAGCGACAAACCAGCCCCCAAAGCGCGACTTGCGAGACCCCAGAACTTGTTCGGAGAGAGTCTGCAGCCTTTTGAAAGAGGACGAGGAGCAGCACCAGCAGCACGAGGAGGAGGCGGACGACGGAAGAGGAGGCGGAGGAGGTGAGGCGGACCTCTCCTTCCCCCTCCTGTTCCGGGCGCTCCGTCCTCCTCTGACGACGGGGCGCATGTCGCGTTTGATGAGACGCCGTGAAGTTGTGCCTAGCCAATGCGCAATGTTGTGCTATACTATGTTCGTTTCCACTCTGCCCCAGTGCAGAATATAACATGATTGTATGTTACGTTCTGTTGTGGATGGGCTGGCGAGACATCGTGACGCCTTTCACGCTTGGTATGTCTTCTAATCTGTCGTTGCTGCTACTGTTTGTTTCTGTGGCCAGCCTGGGCTTGGCGCGCATGTCGCGTATGATATGCCGGCAGCACTCGGTCTCTGCTGGATGATACTATATTTTGTGTTCGGTTCTGTTCTGTTCTCCGCAAATGTGTTTCTTTCTGTTCTGCTTTCGACGGGGCGACGTGACATCGTGACGCCTATCGCCTTTGATATGTCGTCTAGTCGGTCGTTGCTGCGCCTGTTGTTTTCTTGTGGCCAAGCGCGGATGTTGCGTTTAACAGTGTGCCCTTAATCTGTCGTTACTGTATTTTACAGTGGTCAATTGTGCTATGCTCGATAAGGTTCTATTCTGTGATGCTACAACATGATATAACATGTTGTCGACGGGACGGCGTGACGCCGTGACGCCTGTCACGTTGAATACGTCGTCCGATCGGTCGTTGCTGCGCCTGTTTGTACCTGTGGCCGGTCTGACCTTGGCGCGCACGTCGTGTTTGATTATTGTGTGGTGCGGCCTTTTATGCTAGGAAATGTCCCTTCAAGTTTGTGTCTCTCTCTCTCTCTCTGTTGAAGTATGCTCTGGTATGCTCACCTCTGTCATTGTATGATTTGCCCGTTATAGGGTATTTCAAGAGGTTACAGCCAACCATGTGATACCTAAATCGTTGACGTCGGAGTACACGAACACTGCTATGGTATGCTGGCTACGGTGTCCTCGATTCGTTTCGTTATGTTGATGTTATAATGTTGTAGCATGTTGTGCTCTGTTATGTATGTGTTGTTCTCGACGGGCCGGCGTGACGCCGTGATGCTTGTCATGATAGATACATTGTCCGATCGTTCGTTGCTGCGCTTGTTTGCCCCTGTGGCCAGCCTGACCTCGGCGCGTACGTCGCGTCGTAATATGTTACAATGCAGTATGATGTATTGTGATGACATGCTGTATCATACTCATACATGCTGTGATCACGTGTCATGTTATGTTATGTTATGTCATCGTGTCACATGTTATGGTTTGTTGTGTGACGCTATGTCCTGGCCCGATGTTGTTATGCTGCGCGGTGTTATGGTATAGTATGTCATGCTGCGATGTAAGTTGTTACGCCGCGCTCTGTCATGTCATGATTTGCCATGTGATGTAATGCTATGTGCTTCGATATCGTGCTACGGTGTGAGATGATCTGCCGTATGATAGGTTGTTGCGTTAGGTTATGCCCTGATATGTTATGCGATGCTCTGCCAAGTTATGTTATGAGGTGTGGTGTGATGTTTTGTTCTGTATGGTCCAGCATGGCGTAGTTTATTGTGTTATGAAATGCGATGCTCTGTCATGATGTGACAGCTCATGCCACACTCTGTTATGCCATGATGTGCCAGCCACGTCGCGATGATACCTGTCATGGTATCTGGTTTGCGATGATGTAGTATGCTGTGGTGGTTTGCCATGGTATGGCATGGTATGCTCTGTTCTGGCATGTTGTACTGTGTTGTCACATGTTATGATACCAATACCCTCCGTCATAATGTGGCATGATAGGATCCGATATGTCATGTTCGGTAAGGTGGCGTTATGCTTTGTTCTGTCATGTTTTATGGTGTTGTGCTGTACTACGTTCTGCTATTTTGTGATACCGCTCTGTCATAGTATGATTTGCTGGCGCGACGCGGGACACTCGGGGACATTCGGGGGACCTCGGGATTTGGCGGCCACGGTATGCAGAGTGGGCGAGTCGGGGCGAGTCGGGACACTCAGGGACATTCAGGAGACCTGGGGATCCGGCGGCCGCGGCATGCAGGTTGGACGGGTCGGGAGGTCTTTCTTCAAATCTAGCGACCCCAGTCGTCTGTCGGGTGGGGAGAAAAAGAAGATTAACAGTCTTGCGGAAGAGAGTCCTCGGGGAGCAGGGCCTTGGGGATGCGGCCGTGGGGCCTTGAACGCTTGAGCGTGCGTGTTCGTCGTCCTCCCCTCGTCCTCGCCCTTGATTGTCCTCCTCCGCTGCCTCCGTTCGCGCGCGTCTGAAACTGGGCACGGTCGAGCGCCGTCTCAGGTTCCGCGGCGGCATGCCAGGCGGCGCTGTTCCCTGGCGAATGCAGCGCGGAGGCGTTTGCATGCCTGGCAGCGCAACGCATTGCGCAGCTCCCAAAGGTCCCTGACTGAGCCTTTGGGTGGGGTCGAGCGCCGCGGCTGCGCGCGTGCTCGCGTCCGCACGTCAAACAGAAAACATGTTATGGTTGTCTGCTGACGCGCAGTTGCGCATTGTTTGCCCACCCGCTGCTGGTGGAAGCCGGCATGAGCATGCATAGACATGTTCTGGCCAGTTTGACCAAACCGTGCGTAAGATGGCCCGTCGAGCTTGCACCATGGAAGGCAAGTGGTCACCGCGAGGTCACCAACATTCAGATCCATCCCCGTGTGCGGCATGATCAGGGGCAGTGGGCAGACAGCAATTATGCAGTTTAGAATTGTTGTCGCTAGAGTATATGCTACCACTTGGACGTACATATAGCTGCGTGTTGATTACAACCAGCGCGTCGTGAGGCTCCACGTAACAACCTCAGCGTTTGAAGCGCACGCATGTTGTTTATTTGCTGGCACGTGCTAGACTGGCATCCCCACCAAGTGCTTGCGTGCCACCAAGGAGGTTTAGACGACCAGCGTGTTGTAGAGCGCGGGCGCGGTGTAGGGTGAGGTGGGGGGGCAACGCTAGACTCAGATCGGGAACGTCCCCTCAGGACTTCCCTCGAGCTTGAGTCCTGAGCTAAGTGTCTATGGATGTAGGGAATGAGGAGATCGGAGGGGGAGCAGCGTGAGGCGCATACGTCCACGCACTTGACAAATTCAACCTGGCGCGATCGCAATCAGGGGGCTTCTGCTTCCCAGAGCAATTCAAAACAGTCCAGGGCCATGAAGCGTACTGCCGTTTCAAACCATTGTTCGGCATGGCTTGGCATTGCTTGGCATTGATTGGAATCATCACTTGGCGTTGCTTGGCGCCCTGGACATTCATACGCATCAGCGTATAAGTTTACGCCCGCACACACACACACCACGCATCACACATATGTTACGCACTCTGCCTATGTAATGCGGAACGTCTGTATGTGCGCAAGGTTTCGATTCCATGTGCGTATTCATGCGATGTTGTTTCGGTCTTTGCGCCCGTGTTATTTGTGCGTACTATATGTATACTGGTCTCTCGGCCTCACCCTTTTTGAACCGTATGTGTTCGTGGCTGTTTCGTGCGCGTTGCGAATAGAAGGATCGTGTGCATGTGTGGGCGTGTTCCCTCATGCTGGCTTCTGCAGTGGCAGTGAATGTGTGTTTCATGGTCTGCACACGCTACGACATGCTTCCATGCTTAACGGCGTGAGCATCTTGCAGGGGACGGGAGGTGGGGCGACCAACCTCAAGCGAGTGACATACCTTGTGGTGGACGAGGCACACGAGCTTTGTTTTGTCGGTGCATGTGCGTTTTACTGGTTGACCAGTGTAAGAGCCCCGAGACCACCCACAAGCATGTTCCGACAAACCTATGATATACAGACTTATACGTCGAGTCGTCCTGCAAGTCGAGGAAGTCTTGGATGGTAAGAGATACCCAGCCTGAACATTCTTCGAATACGTACATGAAAGATGCTGGCTAAGAGAAGAGACGAGTGACGGAATCGCGTGTTCCGCTTGTTGTTCGTGACCGTTCGGTTTACGCGTGGTTGTTGTTGACCAGAAAGCGATCCATGTATCCAGTGTTCCGTTCGGAAAGTTCTGTTGCAGGCCCGTCGACAGGACAATTTCACAGCGTCCATGGATCATTCGATCTGTTCGGGCAGTGCCCGTGGGTTGGTCAAACGCCTGTTGCATATCCGCCTTCTCGCGAGGCAGATCGCATGCTGGACATGGGATTTGAGCCGCAGCTGCGCCGCATCGTGTCGCAGATCCGGCCCGACAGGCAGACATTGTTGTGGTCGGCGACATGGCCGAGAGAGATACAGTACCGCTTCCCTGTCTCATTTTGTCGCTGTTTCTTTCTTCGTGAGTGGAGCACGAGAGGGAGGAGAAGGAGTGCGCCCCTCCTTCCCTCTTGGTACTTCTTCGTTTGCTTTCTCTCTCACTCTCTCTCCTGCCTATACACCCCTGGATCTGTCATGGGCATATTCATTTTTTTTTTTTGAATTTAGGGTTTAATCGAGCCTGGCAGGCGGCTGCCAGCGGTTGGCGTAATGCGGTGGCTCGCCTTTGTACTCCTTTTCCCTCCATTTCCCCAAGCATGTCATTGTTCGGACGGAGCTGGGACGAGGACAAATCCGTCCCAGAGCGTTCCAAAACGCTCTCAGAGCTTTCCGAACGCTCTGAGAAGGCTGCGGCGCCCGAAACACCATCCAGAGCCGCCAGATCTTAGAGATTCTCGCCGTATCTTCACCCGATGGTATCCTCGTCTTGGCTTCGTCCTTACCGAGCGGCACAAGAGCCCGGGGTCAACCCTGGCAGGGGCCCGACAGCGAAATGCGGGCGGGGGCGAGAGGACCGCGCGGCCGCCTCTGCCGCCGGCGTTCGCCGCGGCCTTCCGACGGCGCTCCGCGGCGCCCCTCGCGGCCTCGGCCGCGGCGCGGTTCGCAGCCGCCCGGGCGGCGAACCCGGCGCGCTGTGCTTGCGGCGCGGAGCGTCCGGTGCGATGGCGTCGGCTGGCGCGCTCGGGTCTGGCCACCCCGCGCCGCCAGCTCAGCCGCGCACCAAAGGTCACCCTTGCCTATGGTGTCATTCTTGCGTGTAGCCGACGATTGCACGGCGGCTTGCGCGGCGCGCGTGACGCACCCCCGCGCACGCCGACGAATGCTGCTAGTCGCGGCCTGCACCGTCGAGGAGCGGCGGGCGCGATGCGCCGTTGGCGTGCCCTCGTGCTGGCGGCCGTGTGCGCGCTCGCGTCGGACGGCCGGCGGCCTGCCAGGCTTGGCGCCTCGTTGCCGACTGCCGCGGCGAGCGGGCAGTCGCGGCCCGCGGCCACGTCCTGCGTGCGGCGGGAGTGGCGGGCAGCCGTGGAGCAGGCCAGGGCGCATCGCTCCCTGCAGAGCGCCGTGGCAGGCCACCGAAGGCCGCCGCACCACTCACGGCTGCGACCGCTCGGCTTCGCAAGGGCGCAGGCGACGGGCGCAGACACAGACGCAGGCGTGCGGCCAGGAGCGCCAGAAACGCGCGAGTCGCCCAGTTGTGAGCTCGTGGCGGCAGCAGGCAGCTCGCGCGGTGATCGGTCCGTCGCTTTCGGCCTGTCGCGCCTCCTGCCCGGGGCGCTCGCGGTGGGACGCGCGCGCGCGCGAGGGCCTGGTCTCACGTTTCCACGACGACCAGCGTGCGAGTAAGCGCGGCCCGGCGCGTCTGCGCCGTGGCATTGCAGCTGCGTCTGGCGCCGGAGCCGCGGATGCGCCCTCGGCGTAAGCGGCACTGCGTCGCACGGGGCGGCAGTCCTCCCTGGAGCGGCGTTGCTTTATGGCCGCTGCGCACCGCGCCAGGATGACCGGTGGCCGCCTCCAGCTGGGACTGCCTGGGCGCGCCTGCTGCGCGCGGTCGGCCCGTGCGCGGCGAGCCTACGGAGGTGCTTACAGGCAATCGCCGAGTGCCACGCGTTGCGCACCTGGGGGCACTTCCCTGCTGGCGCCCGTGACCGGCCCTGGCCCCCCCCCCTTGTCACGTCACGATTCGCGCCAGCGCCATGTCGGAATTTGCCATTCCCAGGCGGCGCGTGCGCGAATTGTGACGTGACGGCCCCACCCCCCCTCCCCCCCTTCCCAGTCACGCCCGTTATCGCCAGGGAATGAGAAGCAACTATCCCCAGGTGTCCCTTGCCCAACGGCCCTAGACCAACAGCCGGAAGCGGGTTGCAGGACTGTGCCGTGCCGCCGCCCTCCTCCCCCCGCTTCCTCCTGCTCCTCCCGCGCTCGCCCGCCTCCTCTGCGACGGGCCGCGCTGGGACCCGCGGGCTGCTGGCCGTCCACCCGCGCAGGCCCGGCCTGCCCCCATCGCCCTCCCGCATTCGGGGGGGGGGGGGGCCGACCGCGTGGCGCTGTGGGGTTCTCACCCGGCGTGGGGGCGTCCGGGCAGGCCCGACGGGAGAGCAGCGCCTGCGGGGCAGGGCTGCCCGCACGGGCAGTCCGGCCTGGCGTGTCCCTTTGGGGGGGGCCCTGGCCCCTGGCATCGCTCGGACGTGTGCTTTTTTCCTTCGGCGAGGACCATCGAGGAGCATCCTCGATCATCTGGCGAAAAAGCCACGCACGAAACCGAACAAGACATGGGGAGTGGACGTCCGAGCGATGGCGAGGGCCGAGCGTCCCCGCTCGCGCTCGCCCGCGTGCAGGCCCTGCGGGGTGGTGGCGCTCGCGGCGGGGCGGTCACCTCCGATCCGGGGCCGATGTCCCGGCGGTCCGATGCTGCCCAGGGCTCGCATGGCGCGGTTTTGCATCCCGGCGCAGCCGGTCCGCTTCGATTCTCGGGTCGGGCGAAAGGGGGGGTTTGGGAAAGGGGGGGTTACGAAATCTGCTGCATGCAGCTGGTTTCGGCCCCGCCGCCGGGCCCATTCCTCGATACATGGGCGCCTCCCGGCGCCGGGAGGCGCCGGGAAAATCAGCTACGTGAGCTGATTCTCAAACCCCCCCCTTTGCTATCCCCCCCTTTCGCCCGACCCGAGATGTCGTGCCGATGAGGCTCGGTCCAACGCACATTTCGATGTCGGTTCGATGCTGGCTGAGTTGGTTTCCCTGCGCGGGCTTTCTTTGCACGGGCAGCAGACCATGCCGCCCTCCCTCCAGCATCTGTCGCACGGTTGCCTCCACTGCGTGGGCTGCGCGATCATCAACTGGAGGACCACTTGGTGCCGGTGTTCCCAGGAAAGCACACCTTTTGTCGTAAGTCGTAACGCTGCCGCTCCTGATGTTCATGGTTCAACTATTGATGGGGCTGTTTTCCCTACGAATCTTATGGCGACCGCCACTGCTACTGCTTTGCCGCGCGTGGAGGCTTCCCAACATCGCCCTGTATTTCTTCAAGCTGCCATGGCCCCTGAGTTCCACGAGGCGCTGCGTTCGGCCGTGGACGAGCCCATCGATTGTGGCGCGTGGACGGCCGAGGCCAGGCGCCAGTTCGACACGGACCTCGCCACCGATATTGACAAGGCGTGGGCTACTTGGGCTGCTGCTGCCGGCGCGCCCGACGCACGGGTCCTCCGCCAGAGGGCCGGCGGCGGCTGGGCTGCTGGGCCGCGCGCCCAAGAAATCCAAAACCTGTGGAAACAAGCTCGCCGTGAACTTCATCGAGGTGACCACGACGCTGCTGAGCACACCATTGGCATGGTTACCACCATCATCGATGACGCCACGAGCCAACGACTGCAGTCCTGGCGCCAGCGCGTCGCCACTCGTGGCGGTGCGGCGAGCTGGGTCAAGCGCCGCCTGCAGGATCTACAAGAGGCTGTCTTGCCAGCTTTCGGGACAGAGACGATGTCGCCGAGGGAACTGGCTCGCAGGCTGAGTACTTCTTTGGCCAAGCGCTGGAACACGGGAGTCTTCCAGTTATCTCATTTGCCTGGTTTGTGCGTCGACTTTGTACGTGCACCCCTGGACCCAGCACTTCTTCGACAACATGTGTCACCACCAGTGCCGTTACGACGACGTCCTTTCGATCTGTCTATCCTTCCAGCCGTCCCTGCTTTTCGACCCCCTGGGCCTTGGCAGCCAGAGCACGTCCTCGAGTTCTTGCCCGGCGGCGCCAGCGGGATCGAAGGCCACACCGTGAAGTGGATCGAACATCTCCACCGTGATTCTCTGGAGCGGCTCGCACGGCTGCTGACGGCTGCGGACCAGGGCCGCGTGCCGCATTTCTGGAGCATGGCCCGCGTAACCCTCATACCGAAGGGCCCCGACGCGCCGCCTGACGAGCGCCGGCCGCTTACGGTATTACCTGTGACGCATCGCCTCTGGACTCGCCGGCACACGGCGGCTCTGACTACCTGGCTTATGGAGTGGAAGCCTGCTGGCCTCGTCGGCGCCGTGCCGCGCCACTCCTGCCCAGACGTGTTGTGGGAGCTCCAGGCGCACCTCGCCCAAGCCCGCCTTGGTCGAGTACCGCCTGCTTTCGTACTGTCCATGGATTTGGAGAAGTGCTATGATCGTTTAGACCTTCCAAACCTTTTGCGCCTCACCGAACATCTCGGGCTACCAGTCTGTGGTCATGTTCTCCGCAATTACCAGAATCTCGAGCGCATCCTCTTGTGGACAACCAGCCCACCGACGTCCTCCTCAAGGGCTCTGGGCTAGTGGGCGCCCCCCAAGGCTGTCCAATGGCGTGCTTCCTGTGCAACCTCACGTCCGTCATGTGGCACCTGACCGTATCCAGAGCGGTGCCGTCAGCCACGCACTTTTCGTACCTCGGCGGCCGATTCGTCCTCGTCGAGTCCTGGGAGCAAATGGCCCGCGTGCTCGAGGCGACCCAGCACATCGATTTGGCGATCGGTCCCGATCTGAACCTTCCGAAGTGCGCCCGCGGCGTCGTCGTCCCTGTGGGTCGGCGCGCCCCGCGTTGTGCAGACCGCAGCCTCCGTGCCATACCTCTTCGACAGAGCTTTCGGTACTTGGGCATAGACTTAGTTCTCGGCGAGCCGGCAGCTGCACCAGTGGCCGGGCGCCGCATTCAATTGCTCCGCAGACGGTTGCACGTTACCCGCATCCTGCCTTATTTTCAACGAGGTGCGGCAGTCGCAGATGCTCTCTCTGCGGTCTGGTGCGATGGCGGTTTCGCTTATACCATACGTGATTTTCGGCAGGCGTGCTCCTGGGTTGCACTTGGTCTCATGGGCAACGAGCCTGAAGGTCGTACTATCCGCCGTTCCAGAGAGCTCACGCATCTCCTCGGGCCTGGGTGTCACCGGACTCACTTGGGGTGTGTTGCGATCTACAACAGCGTCCGAATGTTCTACCGTGTCCTCCTGGCAGGGAGTCTTCAACCAGCGGAATGGCAATTTCTCTGGGCACAGCGAAGACGGATCAGGTTCGGGCCTTTCACACTGCTCTCCAGGGCGTGTTCAATATTGCAGATCGATTGGTATTCCGCAACAGCCTTCAAGGCAGGGGCGCGCAGGTACGCCTTCACCATCCGTCCTGAACATCTTGCCGAGGCTGGCCGTGACGGC